CTCACACACACACACACACACACACACACACACACACACTCTCTCACACACACACACACACACACACACAGATTTTACGTCGATTTGTATCGTATTCACACAGTGAAATCCCGGCATTAAATACAGCTGGCTGTCTGTTTCATCCATGTAATACATGAACAGTTGTGGCCGGTTAGATTGTACACAAAGTAATTCCAAGACATTACAATCTTTTCGTTTAGAATTATTAGAAATTTAAACATAAAAAGGAACGATATTTTAAATAGAAAATTATTTTTTACTTTTGAACATTTTTTTTATGGCATTGTTGTTTTATTTGTTACAGCTTCAGTCATCGATCTCAACGACGCACAGTGGCCCGTTTGCCAGTTTCAAAGGACAAGATTATTTTTTTAAGGTATGTCTTGTTATCAACAAAATTGAAAAAATTAATCTTAACATTGAGTTAAAATTAAATTTAAGTTAATTTTTTCAATTTTGTAAAAAATGAATCAGATCACCGTCACATTAAATTCAGAACTCTCGTCTCTGATATTATTAATTTTACTTTCCAATTTCAATCTTTAACGCGATAGATGTGTACATAGTGAAACATGCCGTGAGAAGGCAAACAGAATAATATTATGTGACATAAAGACTTTGCTTATGATACGTAAGAACTTTTATATTTTCTTCGTCTCTTGTAGAAAGAATACTTTCAAATGAAAAGGAATGTTTGTGAACGAAGGGAAAAGCTTTTCCGTGCTCGATGATAATGTTAGAAATACAGAAATAACATTACTCTTTACGACTTGAGCTAATAAATATATAATAATTGATACATCATAAGAAATCTTGCGCTACCATTATTATGTTGTGTTACAAGGGTGCGCCATTAATATTTATTTCTTTTTAGTCAGCATGAATTGTTATTTTTATCAAGTTAATAGTAAAAACTACAAACCGCACAGAAATTTCACTCGAAGAGAGACATTTTTTAATTTTTGTAGCTTTTTTATTTTTAACGCGAGCAAAATGTGTTTCCAAGCTTAATTGCGTCTTTTTTTTTTTGTATATCCTATACACGTATACATGTCGTATTAGCAAGATACACCAAACTGTGATTAACGAAAAGAACACTCAAAATCAAGGCTGATATTTACCCGTCGGATTTTGCCAGTGCCATGACAAATTCGTTTCGATCGCAGGGTATTTGCGGTTTATTGCAGAGCTCCATTCAGTCTAATATATTTACGGATAGTGCAACGGATTCGTGCAAATCTTGTTGATGCACGCGGTTATACCAAATGGCGAGCTTTTATCTGTACGGAGTATTGCAGTCTGAAGTACCCATAAAACACACATCTCTATAATAATCTCTATTACGTCTTTTGCGAGCATTATTTTTCTAACTTTTACTACGCATATTTTATCAAATTTATTTGATAATAAATATAATTAAAATTGAAATTTATTTAAGTTGTAATTTTTTGTACTTGAAAACAAAAAAAAAACAAATATGAAACTTACAATGCAGATTTATCAAGCACTATTATTAATATGAACAGTTATCAAGGGATATATATTTCTATGCGACTCGTAATTAGTAAATGTAATATAAATAAATAAACAAATCAACCCTTTTAATCTTTTAAACTTTTTAATCGAGAAAATCCAGCAAAATTGCAGGCGACAATTTGAGCAACAATTTTCCTGTTTTAATCTCGATAAAATAAATGAGTTTTATTTTGCAATTTATTTTGCTCTCTTTTTCTGTACGATTCCGTACGAATCTTAACAATTACTGTGCGCAGGTAATTGCTTTGAATAATGTGATTCCCGAATAACTCCGTAGCTTTAACCGCGTTATCAATCCTCCACGGAACTACGTGGTCCTTGGTAAACATTGTTTGCTGAGGAAACATCACTGCAAAGTCCCCCAGATAAATGTCATTACGCTTGTTACGTGCGACCGCGCTTTCTAAAAAGAACACTCACTAGGGCCTCTTTTAACCCGTTCGAAAATGAGAGTTTTTTTCAATTTTAGAACTGACACTCTTTGCATTAAAGAAAGGCAGTTTTTTATATTTCTGTGATATATTCTTTTGTTTCTTGTTGGAAAGAATTGGTACTTTCAGACAAAATCCGTTTCTTCTTTCAGATTTGTTTTCATTGCTTATTTGCGTTATTTGAATTTCTTAAGAAAGTTTGTTTTTGTTAATCTTTGCCAATTTTTATTACAAGACTGTGCTGATCGTAACATTATTTATTTTTGTTAGTACTAATTTTTTCAGATATTTTCACATAAACAACATGCTTGAAGAAATCGCATATTTCAAAAGCTATTTCCCTCATGCATGACGATATCACGCTGCTTTTTATTTAACACACGTCGTATCGCCGACATAAAATTGTCGAGTATGCTGAGTATGCTATCGGGCGGCACTAAAAAGCACCACTCTCCAAGGAAACGCAAATTTTACTAAGCCTTAGCTTTTTAATATTCCGTTCTTTCTTCGAGCAAAAATTGTGTGGTTCTTTCTTCGTGGATTACTTTTGACATGATTATTTCTTTTAGATTTATATCGCTCGATCTTCCTCTGATTCTTTTTAATCATAATCTTCCAATATAGTCGATGCGTCGATCCATCAATGCCGGTTTACTGTACAGCTTATTGTTAGTTTGACTGATTTTTCATTTTATTCTAGATAGTAATATTAAACATGATATCATCTTTAACTTTAATTAATAATTCTTACAGTATTTTGTATTACAGTACTTTGATATCTTTAACGAAAATTTAAAAGCAAAAGCTAGAATTAAAATTTTATAAATTTAATTCATTAAATTTTAAAATGAGAGAAAAGTGAAAGGTCGGAAATGCGAGGATGGGAGTGAAACTGCAAGATATATGTATAAGATATAAATACAGGCAAACATTTGATTAATTAATTCGAATTATTCAAGGCACAAATTTAATTTACCGCTAATAAATATATCTATAGATAAATATCTAATTAAATAAAATTTGTAATTAGATAGAAAACAGCCACTACATCGGATAAAATAATTAATAATTAGCAATATTGAAGGATTTAGTATTGCATCGTGAAAAAAATGTGAGAAATACAATATCACCCTTCAGACATTCGATGATGCATCTCAAGCGTTGATCATTCATTCGCGTTTTCATTCTCCGATGATTTTCCGGTTCCTCTTAATCGAACGACTTTTCTTTTGCAGGGGTTCGAGGCGACATTGAGTGACAGCAAGAAGAAGTACGCCGACAAGGTGAGTGCACTTCTGTCAGCCTGGGAGCATGTCACCAATTATATTCCTGCGGCACCGCCCGAGGCCATCCAGTCGCTCATAGAATGGGCTCACAGGTGGGTACATGTCGTTCGTCGATCGTTGTTGTTACATCCGCGATTATGCAGCCGAGCCGATCAATGGGAAACTCGTTTCGCGGAGACTCGTACGGGGTGCCTCGGAATTGTCATTACTTTTAGGATATGCCGTCGGATATATCGAATTATACCAACATCTCGGAAAAAAGACAAATTATGAGTTATGAATTATAATTTTGTACGCTTTTATTAATAATTGTAAATAATTGTACAAGAGAGAGAGAGAGAAAGAGAGAGAGAGAGAGAGATCTATATATTTCAATTAGAAAAAAGTGTAATAACTTGAAATTAAAATTTAAATGAATTTTTATTAGGTTTTTTTACTTTCACGCTTGTATAACATTTTTTTCTCCATTTTTAAAATTTACTATCGGTTAATGTGTCACAATTTAATATCAAGGTTGCTTAATTATATTTGTCATTTAATTATGTTTATCACATCTTATTTTCTGACATTATGCAATGTTCGCATAAACGTATGACTCATTTAACACGTAGCATGTACACTCGACTTTTTTTGTGCTACTGGTCGGAACTTTTTCGACACAAAGGTAGCGCGAAACAAGTTTCGATGTAACATTCTACGGTAGATGAACGTGACGCGGGAGAGAAAAAGCGAGAAGGAGAGGAAGGGAGAGGAAGAGTGAATGAGTGAGAGAGTAAGTGAGTAAGGGAAAAAGAGAGAAACTGATGGCATGGAAAGTAATGAATCTACACGTATGTAGCACCGTCATACAAACGATCCCGGAATTTTGAATAGCAATGCGACGCAAATTCACGTTAACGTGACAGGTATACAACCGAGGCACCCTACAAAGTACAGGATGATCCAAAAGAGATTCATGAGGACATTTTTTTGAGTTCTTCAGTTACTTTTTCTTTAACGGAAATTTAATTAGTGAGCGGTGTTATTTTTGATGAGCAAATTAAATCTTATGTCTAAATGAATAACAGGATCTCGATTAATAGATAGATTCGATTAATGGATGTTTTAATCCAGTGAGCTCTCTGTTCTATAATAGAGTATCGATCTTGATTTGATAATATCTAAGTTAAAATAGAGGATTTACATATTTATATGTAATAAATTATTATTCGTGGTTTGTTATCTAAATTAAAATACAATTTTAACCGTTGTATAATAGATTATTAGTAATGAATAAAAAAAATGAGTTAAAAAGGAAAGAAATATTTTATTCGCTTAAAATTGAGAGATTCTCTTTTATCCCATTGAGATGCAGATTCCTTTTAAGGGAAAGTAATAGACTTAATTTACTTAAAATGTCTTATTTTAATATTTGAATCCGAAGTTTGTAGGGGATGAGATCGCAAACATGGGAGCAATGAAAACAACTCCGCGCAAACATGTCGCTTCTTCTACTTTGAGATTCGCTCACACTGTTGTTCTCTGTTGTGCAGACATACGTTGACATTGGTATTGCGCGGGGAGTGGCCGAAGTTGGCACCCGTCGCCAAAACGCACCTCTGCGTGACGCTGCAGAGGTGTGTGTCTCAGCTGGTGCAACACCCCGCTACACCCAGGTGTACCGCCCTGTTGGCTCTGGTGAACAGTCCATGGACGCATCCCGTTCTCGACAGCATACTTAACGGCCAACCGGATTCCGAACATGAAGAGGGTAAGATGAGATGAAGTATTAGTGCTGTTTCGCTGTGACAGTCCCATTTCAGATTTGAACGAAAATACGGATGTTCCGTTGACTTTGTGGTACTTTGTAGTGTCAGCTTTAAGAAAGAATAGATTATTTATGTATAGTTATGTTTCTTTAATTATATATTAAATAAAAATGTTCTCATACCTAAATATCGAATTTTACGTTATCAGATGTATATAATGTAATTTTAACGAATAGATCTAACGAATATATACAGATTGTCTATGAGTTATATCTGTTTTGAGTAAGAGATGAGTCAGAATGGCATATGACATGACGTATATATATAGCAGTTTATATATGACGTCTTTCATACATTGAACCCTTAATTGTTCTTCATCAATAACAAGATTATTTTATTTGCTCAATTGCGACTCTTTAACTTCTCAACTTTGTTCAGCTGTCTTCGAATCTTTGGCGATCATATTGCGAATTCGCAGAAATGTTCAAAAGTGCTATATATTTATGTCTATTGAGATAATATTATCGAAGAATTTTTTTTTCTTGTATTTATAAAGGATTTAATTTATTATAGTTCTCTCCTTCGGCTTAAACAATTTATGTGTATTTTGTGAAGAATTGCAGTGCTGTTAAATGATATTTTGTTGAAATAATGCGTGTCGTGCTTTCAGAATTCTGTTGTTCGGAGAAAGGCGAGCTGCTGACGATGAGACTGAACATACTCTGCGAGGACCGCTGCGAGGACATAGCGGTGAACCTCGCCGCTGCGTGCGTACGCTCCCTTAGACGAAGCGATCAGCTGCGGTCGCTTTCGGAGTCTCATCACGTCCATTATATGATCGACGTGTACATTGTCCTCTTGTACAAATTGAAACGCACGCAAGATATTTTCGCTCAAGTAAGTATCGATTGAAAGTATCAGATTTCTTTGCTGTAAATCGTGTTCATTTATACGTTTAAGTCTAAAAAAAAAAAATGCTAAAATCTAACATGTCGATTTTCCAATTTTAAACTTAAATTTTCAAATCAATTTTTTATCGAAAAAATAAAATTATATTCTAGGAGTGTCATCGAAAATAGATTACTCCGCCATGAGTCACCGACCCACTTACTTAATTTGCCAAGACTTACCAAAATACACAAAGCTATAGTTATAAAATTTGAAATAAGACTTTAATTTGTTGGAAAAGCTGAATTATAATAATATATTCAGAGGACCATCTCATTTCTCTACAATTGAAATCATGTTTTGCATATTGCGTTGCGTAATTGCCGTGCTGGAATTCATAACTGCGCTTTGTTACAGTTAAAATTAATGGACCTCAACGACGGGCTTGAATTAGTCCAGAGGCTCAGCGGTGAGAAGCCAACGAAGTATGGAACGGCGCGTGTTTGGAGAAATTCAATAAAGGCCGCGGAATTGGTCGCGCAGTACCTTGTTACTGCCGGGATGGTTCGACCTGTATCGGAAACTGGCGCAAATATTTTGGAGCAGATCTTGAACTCTTGGGCACTGTTACACGCAAAATTGAAAGATGTCGCGCCGACCCTACCCGGCATGATTAGGAAATTAATTGAACCCGCGGAAAGTGCTCAACATATTTATATTTTCTGTGCAGTACTTGCAAAACATGTAAGTAAATGTTTAATTGAAAAATTAGGTACAAAAAATATAAGAATTGATATTTGTTTAATTTTTTTAATGGAACTATCAACAATTACGTATCACGTATAATTATGTATTAATTATATGTGAATAGGATATTTTTACAGTTTATTTTGTAATATACAATGATAAAGAGACGATTATTTTTTAATTAAGCAAGCTATGTACATATATATATATATATATAAAATCTTCTTTTAATTGCAGTTTGGCGAGAGTATAAAACCTTTGGTAATTGAACTATACATTAGAGCGCTGACGACGGATATGAATGAACTGGAGAGTCAGAAAGCAAAATCAGACAAGGACAAGGTGCGCGAGACTGCCAAACGTCTCAGCACACAATTTCTTAAATTGGCGGACGTAGTGGATAGCAATATAGGCATTGCCAGGGAATGTGTTCTGACGGCATTCTCCTTGCATCCTACCAGAGCCTGTTACGACAAAATAAAGGAATTGGCAGTGGCGTGCGGAAAGGCGAAAGAGGATGATATTTCGCAAGAAGAGGAGATAACTATCAAGAAGGAGCCCGAGCAAATAGAGGATGATCATTTCCCTATGTCGGCTATCAAAGTTGAGATAAAAACCGAGATTAAGGAGGAGGATAGCGTCATCACGGAAATACATCCTGCGCAGTCTGCAAGTTCAACAGTTTTAGAAGCACAGCTGACACATGAAAATTCGACCACTACAAATAGTATAGATTTTCAAAATGGCCAGGTGACGAAGACATTTGAACGGACAGATCAACTGTTGAAGAGTCTGTTGGCAAGGAAACCTGACACGACGACGTTAGCAACACCGACCGGTGACAGATGTCCATTGCATCCAAAACGCGAACCTTTATCCGACGAATCACTTGGTGAACTCTGTTTTAATTGCGGCAAATTTACTAGCAGCAATCAGTTAAACAATAAATCGCAATCGGATCAGGTCGACGTGACGGCGGGCAATAACGTGGAGAGAACACTAGACGCGTTGATTCTGATCAAGGGCGACGCGGTAACGGGCTCGGCCAACTACGACGAGAAGTCGGCACCTAGTCAGGTTCTAGATGGCGAGAAACTGGGTCTGTCGCCGCAGTTATGCGACGATCTGGCTGTAGTATTGAATAGTCCACGCTACCACATGCTTAGTTGGGTGCTAGACTGGAAAGAGTTGAAGAACTTGTGCGAGCGGTACTTGGAGAATGCTGAGGAGATGCGCAACACGAACAAGGAACTCAAGTATCTGAACATCGATTACTCGCAGTTCAAAGACTGGCCATCGGAGGACGACACCAAGGATATCTTCTTTGGCATCGAGAAGGGTTATGAACAATGGGCCGATGTGCCATCCGATAGTTCGGAGCAGTTCGGGAGCTTCCAGCCGGCAGCCGGCTACAAACGCTCGTCAGCACGCCGTAGTCTGGATGATAGTACGACGGATTCTGACAGCGGTAGTGTGCTGCACGTGCGACGTACTGCTCGATCGCGCAAGATCCATCGACTGGAATCATCTGAGAGCGATTACGACAGCGCTGAGCGTAAACCAAAGCATTTTAGAAATAGGATTAGCTCGGTGTCAGACAGCAGCGATAGCAACACACAGGACAGCCAGACTGACAGTTTAGGTAGCGACGGTTTTCGACTGGAAATCAAGAAAAAATCCAACAAATCGAGCAGCAAAGAGCCTGGTAAGAAACGCCCGAAGACATCGAAACTCACTGTCGAATCCGTTTCGCATTTTCACATGCTAGTAGATGAAGACGCGCGTCATACAAACACGCATGAAGACGCCAGCGGTTCTGATATTAGCAGCAACGACTTTATCACGCTTTTCCCCCGTGATATGGATGAGACCAAGTGTGAGACGATAAAGGGCTCAGCGTACACCGCCGCAGCGCCGTTGATTATTACCGAGAAGCAGAGTGATCCGGCGGTGCTCAAGTCTCTTAGGATGTTCAGACTCTCGAAGAAGCAGACCTCGAAGAAGCCGTCGAGAATTTCGCAAATCCTGCAGAAAAATCTGTTGAACAAGAACAAGGACGGCAGTCGGACGGACGTGGAGCAGCAAGCGACGAACAACATCGCAAAGTTTGCGTCAAAGTTGGGTACATTGAATTTGAATCCGAAGATCGTACTGACGCGCACGGACGAGGTTGATCGTAAATTAACGAGCCGCGTTAAAAAGCAGCAGCAACGACTGAGCACTGGCGATATCACTAGCGAGCTGATCAACATACAAAAAACCATGCCCTTCTCTCCGAACAAGAGTGTGATGACGTATCAGAAGAAGCAGAAAGAACGCGTTGCGAGTGGCAAAAACAACAACACCGATAAAAGGGACTTACTTCGACCGTGTTCCGTGGTGATTGGCGGTCATCATGACCATCATCTTCATCACCATCATCACCATCTCGGCTCAGTCAAATCCAACTTGGGTAAGACCAAGTTCGACATCCTTGCAAAGGCCGATTTTAGAGATTCCGATATATTGGCGAAGAACGTGCCCGGTTTAAACTCCCTGGACATGATGGTGCCGCCACGGCAACGTTCTACAGTGAACGTAGTTCAACTCTCCAGAAGCGGCATACCGCAAAGTCCGAATAGCGCCACTGGCACGGCTGCGACGATCAACGTCAGCGGCAATACGCCACCGCGACCAACGCGCACTCCAAGCGTGGCCAGTAGCCAAAGTAGCACCGGCGGTGGGAATAGCATACAGTTGCCGGGTACGCCGTCCTCAACGGGCGGCCATGACAGCGGTGTCGGCATGAGTCCGGCCGGCCAAACGCCACCGCTGAGATCGTCGAATCTTGGAACACCGGACACCGTTGGCGAGGACGCCAATCAACCACCGGATGCCGCGTCACCAACGACCATTAGCTCGTCAATTTCAACGACAACGATGATGACTGTTAACAACGTGTCCTCCGCGGTGCACGCCGCTATTGTCGAATCGTCGAATTCAACGCGAACAATGGCACAGATACGTCGCACGAACAGCCAGCAGAACAATCAGTCACCGAAAAAGTCACCTTCCTCTCCGTGCTCTACGCGCGCAATCATAACTGCAGGAGCGACGACGACAACCACCGTAACGTCTCAGGGAGGAATAGTTACAACACCAATTACCTCCGAGTCGCTAAAGGTCATCTGCAAGCCAGACGGCATTTACCACATCACGTCGCTCAATCCCAGTCAGTTATACGACGGTAGCGGCGCGAGCTTTGCGCGACAAACGACGCAGCAGCAACGTGGCACGGACACAAGCAGCGGCGCGTCATCCAACAGAAACACCTACGATCGACTGAACGCCGGTTCCTCCGTGAAGAGCGCATCGCAATCCAGTCAGAATGTTTTGCCCAAATTTCAACAGGCCTTCCGCAAAACTTCTATTTATACTCTGTCGACAGATGCGACTGCGAGTGGCGTCTCCGGAGCTGCAACGGATACATCGTTGAATGCAGTGCAACAAACGGTGACAACGGCGTCGGCGCAGAAGACAACAACGAATCTGTCGAAGGCGGTGCAGACATCCGTGCCGAACAATCAGCCGCAACAGCAGCAACAGCAAGCGAATGCTGGCAGTATCAATGTGCAATCGATCATTCCTAATTTGCAACTGCCGGGCGGCAGGCAAATAGTTAACATTGTGCCGAGCTCTGGTAATAACGGTCCGGCGAACGCTACTATCAGTTCAAACCAAGCGGCTAATCAGACGCTGACGCAACTTGTGCAGAACGCCAGCTCGTCGAGTGCTAGCGTCATATACACGCACAAGGTGATAGCCGGCAACAATCCGAATCAGCTCAACATTATACCGGCGATATCGCATGCCAACTCGATACCGGGTAGCAGAGCTTCGGTGGTCAAACTAAACATCATCCGCGCGCCACTCAGACAGCAGAATCTGGCGGGAACCATCCAAGCTGTCCTCACGCCAAGGCTGCAGCAACAGCAACAGCAGCAGCAACAGCAGCAGCAACAACAACCGCAGCAAACTGTGAGAGCGGACAATCTAATTGGTTCTCCGATCGAAGTGAACAACCAGGTGAGCTCGACAACTCTGGAGCAGCTGCGAGAATTTGAGAGTGTACTGGAGCAAGTGAAGGAGAGAAGTATCCAGCCGCAGGCCCATCAATCTATTTCCAACAGCACGACCACAACGACCGTGCAAACGCAGACTACCACACAGCAGACTCAGGCGACGAAACAGCAACAACAGCAAATATCTGTCAGTGCACTGGCGCAGCAGTTGATGATGCCGACGCAGTCCAGCACGAACAGTGAACCGTTCGCCAGCAACGGCAACAGTGTGACATTCCAGCAGGAATCCGTGTTTCCACAGAA